GACAGGCTGCGGCCCTGGTGTCCTGGCTGTAGGAGGTGCGCTGGGATTTGCAGCTTCTCGAAAACTAGGCGCCCGCTGTGGCGATGGGGGTTCCTTCGGCACAACCAAGTCCCTGCCCGCGGTGTTTACAGTGGCACCTGGCTCCCACGGGTTTTCAAGAAAAGGGCCAAAAGTGGGGGAGGGGGGCAGAAGGGCGTGAAGAGGAGGGTGTCGTGAGGCCTTTCAAGTGGCTGCGGTGAGCCATCTTCCTGGGCCCTGGGTGGTGCGGGAAAGTTGGGGAAGGGCCAGGGGAGGCGCCTCCCTGCCCTGGGAGCCCGGGGACGCGGAGTCCCCTGGAGGGCTGGCTCTGGCGAGCGACACAAGCGCCCCGCCTCCCGCCCAGCCCTCGGGATCTCCCTCCCGGTGGTGTCCTTCCCCGCCCCTGGTGCCGCAGCCTCCGCTGAGCCTGGGGCGCCCCCGTGCGGCCGTCTCGGGCAAAGCGCGCAGCTGGTCCCGCCCCGCCGCCCGATTGGCTGCCGAGCGAGAGTCCGGGCGCCTGATTGGCCGGCGGGGCTGCGGACGCTGACTGGTCAGGTCCGGGCAGCGGCAGCGCGGAGACCGGCATGGCGGCTCCCGGACCCTGCGCCGACGGCCCCTGCTGCACCCACTCCGGCGCGCGGCAGACGCTGGACGAGATGGATTTCGAGAGGGGTGAGGCTGACGCGCGTCCGGAGGCGACCCGGGGGGCGGTCGGGAGCACCCGGTGCCGGTTCACCGAGAGCCTTCCCAGGCCTGGCACGAATTCGGCCGCTGGAAACGCCGGCCGGCGCGCAGGGAGAGAAGCTGCGCCCGGTGCGACGCGGGGACTCCCTCCCGCTCGGGTACCGGAGACCGGTGGCTGGAGCTGCGGCGCGGCCGGCCTCACTGTGCGGGGAACTCACGTTTCTGAGCCGCTGTGAGCGCTAGGTACGGCCAAGGTGGTCCCCCAGGCCGGTGCGGGTCTCCCGCCGTGAGGCCCCGAGAAGTAACACTTTTTGCACCAGCCTTCTTTCCTCCACCTTCCCACCGCCCCGTACGGGTCTCCTGAGTATGAGAACTAGCCGTTCTCGGCTGGGACAGTTCTGCTCCTTAGGGTCTGGCAATTTCAGTTGTTACATCTGAGAGGGTACTACTGGCCTCTAGTAGGTAGAGACCAAGGGTGCTTCATGCAGCCCAGTGTGCACAGGACAGCTCCCCAACACAGAATTACCAGACCCCAACTGTCCATCGCACTGCCATTGAGAAACCTTCCCGTGTGCAAAGTAGGGCCCCTTCCCCTCGCGGTTACGCCGATGGATCACTTTGCTTTCATCAGAGCAGTTTTACAATGTGATGTTATAGTCTCTCTTGGAGATACTGCAGGTTTGATTCCAGACCACTGTAAAAAGGGAGTATCTCAATAAAGCAAGTTGTCCTCTTTTTGCTGGCGGAGGGTCTTGCCTTCAGTTTGTAAAATGCACACCTGTGAGGCCCAGTAAGGTGAAGTGCAATAAAACGAGGTGTGCCTGTGTTTTGTTTGCATGCTCATTATCTATTTTGCACGCATGGAAAAGATCTTTATCTTTTTTGTGTGTTGATTTTTTCCCCCTTCACGTCTTCTTTTTGGGTTCATTTTTCTTTTTCCCGAAGTAATCCTTTGATAGTTTTTTCAATGAGCATGCTTCCTCACCACACAAACACAGTTGAGGGGTAGCTTAGCTGGTATAAAATTCTAGGTTGAGAGTTATTTCCCCCACCCCTCCACCCTCACCCCAGTCCTTTGAAAATATTATTCCTTTATGTTTTTGTACCTGCTCCTGCTATTAAGTAATTCTTCAGTGGGTGAGGATTTTTTTTTAAAACTTTTTTTAGTCATGATGTCTAGCCACTTCACCATGCGAGATTTGTTTTTATTCATTCTCCTTGGGATTTAATGTTTTACTTCAGAATAATTCTTAGGTGTTAGCTCTTTTTTTTTTTTATCCTCACCCGAGGGCATTTTTTGATATTTTGTTCAGATAGAGTGGGAGGGGGAGAGAGAGAGAGAGAAACATCTACGTGAAAGGGATACATCGAGTGGTTGCCACCCACACGACCCAAAGAGGGCCGGGGACAAACTGCAACCGAGGTATGTGCCCTTAGTGGGAACTGAACCCAGGTCTCTCCAGACCGCAGGCCGACGCTCTAACCGCTGAGCCAAACCAGCCAGGGCAGCTCTTAAAACATTACCTCTCTCCCACTCTATCCAGTTTCTCTCTCTCTCTCTCTCTCTTATTTTTGAAAACTGTATTGGACATAGTTCTGTGTTTCTCTGTCTCTTTAATATTTTTCTCTTTACCATTCTGCATTCTTGGTGATTTCCAAATCATTAATTCTCTCTCCAACTGAGTCTGCAGTACTATTGAATCATCTATTGTTTTAGTTTAATGATTCTGCTTTTTAATTTATTGACTTTGTTTCAAATCTGTCTGCTCTTTACCCCATTCCCTCAATGTTCTGTTGATTTGTGGATTCTATTCCTTCATCTCCGTTGAACACATTAAATGTTGTTTTAAAGTCTCAGATTGCATTATATGGCTAGTTTTTGGAGCATGCTCTTTCTCATTTTGCTGAATGTCTTACCTGGCAGTGGATTACTTCTTGTTTGCCAGTTTCTAATCTTTGAGCTCACTAGGGGGAGTCCTCCATCCTTATGAGGTATTTTTATTTATTTATTTTTCTTTATTTATTTTAGGGAGAGGGAGAGAGATAGAAACATCGATGAGTGAGAACAATTGGCTGCCTTCTGCATGCCCCTCACTGGGGATCTGGCCCACAACCTGGGCATGTGCCCTGATCAGGAACCAAACCAGCAACCTTGTGGTGCATGGGTCAATGCTGAACCACTGAGCCACACTGGCCAGGTGATTTAAGGTATTTTTAAAAGTTTCCTCTGGCCCTGGCCAGTTTGCTCAATGGTTAGAGCATCGGCCCTCAGACTGAAGGGTCACAGGTTCGATTCCTGGTCAAGGGTACGTACCTGGGTTGCAGGTTTGATCCCCAGTCCCAGTCAGGGCCATGTAGGAGGCAACCAGTCATCGTGTTTCTCTTGCATCAATATCCCCCTCCCCCCCTTTGCACTCTATCTAAAAAAAAAAAAAAAAAAAAAATCAATGAAAAAATATCCTCAGGTGAGGATTAACAAAAAAATAAATAAAAGTTGCCTCTGACTGGCCCTTATAAGGTTCACTTGTATGGATCAGTTTTTATTTTTAAATTTATTTTAGAGAGAGTGGAAAGCAGGGGAGAGGGAGGGAGGGAGAGAGAAACATTGATGTGAGAGAGACACATCAATCTGTTGCCTCCTGCATGACTCCCAGCTGGGGCCAGGTATATTCCCAACCCACATCCCAGGTATATTCCCTTGCAGGAATCGAGCCCACAACCCTTTGATCCAAGGGCCGACACTCTAACCAGTAAGCCAAACTAGCCAAGGTTCTCTGAAGCAGTTTTTATGACAGATTCTTAGCTTGGGGGTTTGCTCTCTAAGGGTAATGTAAGTAGATATAAGTCTCACACCTCCACGTTGTATAGGTCAGGGCACCTGATTTTTTAGGTTTCGTCTGCCTTTGCTGTCTTCTCACACCTATTCAAATGGTGCTGTTTCTCGTTTCTGGTCAAATGTCACCTCATCAGAGATGCCATCCCTGACCACTGCCTATACCCCTTTTTTATTTTTCTTCATAGCATTTAGTACCACTTATTTCATTTTATATACACACACACACACATTTTTTTTTTACTTGTCTGTCTCCTATAATTAGAATATAAGATCCATAAGACCAAAATTTGGGAGGTGGGTCTTATCTCAGCTGACCCTTAGTACACAGAGCAGTGCCAGGTGCACAGTCAGTATTCAGTGAATATTTGCTGAATGAGTGAAGGGCCTGCACATGGTGGCTTACTTTCTGCTGCTACTCAGGACGAGAGAGTGAGATTTGTCTTTTTTCTTTTAATATGTTTTTATGGACTTTTTAAAGAGAGAGTGGAGGGGGGGAAGGGAGAGAGAGAAACATCGATGTGAGAGAGAAACATTGGCCCTGGCTGGTTTGGCTGAGCGGTTAGAGTATCGACCTGCGGACCAGAGTCCTGGGTTCGGTTACCGCTAAGGGCACATACTTTGATTGCGGTTTGTCCCCGGCCCTGGTTGGGGTTGTGCGGGTGGCAACCAGTTGATGTGTCTCTCTCATATCGATGTTTCTCTCTCTCTCTTCCCCCCTCTCTCCCTCCTGCTCTATCTGAAGATAAATACAAAAATATCCTCTGGTGAGAATTAAAAAAAATTTTTTTTTAAATTTTTTGAAAAAAGAGAAACGTTGATTGGCTACCTCCTGCATGCCCCCTCCTGGGCATTGAGCCCGCAACCCAGGCATGTGCCCTGACCGGGAATCAAACCCAGACCTCTCAGTCCATGGGACAGTGCTCAATCCACTGAGCCACACCAACCTGGCTTTTTTTTTTTAATTTTTATTTTTTATCCTCACCCAAGGATATTTTTGCACTTATCCTCAGATAGAGCAAGAGGGAGAGAGGAAGGAAGCAAGAGACAAAGAAACATCGATGTGAGAGAGACACACTGACTGATTGCCACCCACACCACCCCAACCAGGGCCAGGACAAACTGCAATCAAGGTACGTGCCCTTAGCGGGAACCGAACCTGGGCCTTTCTGGTCCGCGGGCCGATGCTCTAACTGCTGAGCCAAACCGGCCAGGGCTCTTCATTTTTTTGTTTTGTTTTGTTTTAAACTCACTTTTTCTTCTTTATTGATTATAGAGAAAAAGGAAGGAAGATGGAGGGAGAAATAGAAACATCAATGAGAGAGAAGAATATTGATTGGCCGCCTCTTGCATGCCCCCAACTGGGGATTTGGCCCGCAACCTGGGCATGTGCCCTGACTGGGAATCGAACCAGCGACCTCTTGGTGCATGGGTCGACACTCAACCACTGAGCCACACCCGCGGGGCAAGAGAGTGAGATATGTCAGTCCCAGCTCATCCATGATGTGCCACCTCTGGGCTCTGTGCACAGAGCCTCATCTAGTCCCTGCCACGCACGTGGCGTGCAGCCTTTGCTCCAGACCGGCCTCAGGTATTGCAGCCAAAGCCTCTGAGGTGTGTGTCTAGTGTGAGGACTCTGGCCTCCAGACTCCGTGCTTGCTCACCACCGTGGCTGTGGTTTTCACCTTGTTCTGGCACCTGGCAGTGCTTTTGAATTTGAATATATATTCAAACTTTAAAAAAAAAATTTTTTTCTCTTTTGATTTTAGAGAGAGAGGAAGGGAGAGGGAGAGAGAGTTAGAAACATCAATGAGAGAATATCAGTTGGCCACCTCCTGCATGCCCCCCACTGGGGATTGGGCCCACAACCTGGGCATGTGCCCTAACTGGGAATCGAACCAACGACCTCTTAGTGCATGGGTCGACGCTCAACCACTGAGCCACACCGGCCGAGCTATATTCAAACATTTTAAACATTACTCAATATTTGTGTTTGAAGTGGGAAGAAGGGATTTCTGTATCTGCCCAATCCTCCTGCATTGTCGGGCAAGCTCATTGTCTGGTTCACAACTTGTCACAAGCACCTAGGACAATCCTTGGCACAGAGGAGGTGCTTGGTTAATATTTATTGAATGAATATTAACCATAACACCCATTTCTCACCAGTTTTATGGATAATAAAATGGAGCTCAAGAGGTACAGGAAACATGAAAGGTCCTCAGCATCATTCAGTACTTTGGTTGTCTCTCCACAGGAATCTGGTCAGCAGCCTTGAATGGAGACCTGGGCCGAGTCAAGTCTTTAATCCAGAAGGCAGTGGACCCTAGTCAGCCCGACTTGGCTGGCTACACCGCGCTGGTAAACTGGGGCGAACATGGGAGGGACCCCCCTCTGAGAGGGATTGCCATTTACCTTTGTCTCCTCCCTCCCATTCTCTCCCAGCAGGGTTTTCTTTTAAATGTCACGTGAATCTGTTTTTTTTTTCAAGTTAGTATGCTAAATTCACTTCAGTTATTTAAGTTCATTTTTATAACAATCCTGTGAGGTGGAAATGCTTGAGGAAACTGGTGCCAGACAGGAAGACATTAGCCCAGGGCACACAGCTGATGGAGGCAGCCCCTTGAGGACCAGGCCTCGCACCCAGGACCAGTGCTCTCCCCTCCCACCACCTTTCACCTGCCTGGTTCTGCTTTCTAACCTCGGTCTCTTCCCCGCAGCACTACGCCAGCCGCAATGGGCACTATGCGGTATGCCAGTTCCTGCTGGAAAGTGGGGCCAACTGTGACGCCCAGACACATGGGGGTGCCACTGCCCTGCACCGGGCCAGCTACTGTGGGCACACTGAAATTGCACGGCTTCTGCTCTCGCATGGTTCCGACCCCAGGCTGGTAGATGATGACGGCATGACCAGTCTACATAAGGTATGCCCCTCCCTTCAGAACTGTGTTCTTTGTCATTATAAAAGGTATAACGTGTTCACCATAGGAAACGGGAAATGAAACAGCATAAAGTAGAAAATAAAAGCCATTTGTAATCTCATTGCTCACTTCTTAATCACTTTAGGATTAATGTGTAATTTTTCCAGCATTTTCCCTGTGCATGTAAATTGGAATTAAATGTAGAGTCATTTTATTGTTCTTTTCTTTAGTGATGTGTCATGAATGCTTTTCTACATTATTGTTTCCTGAAACTTGCACCTATACTCACCTGTCCCCGTACACTTCCAACTAGAAATACCCACACGTGGTAGGCAGTTTGAAGAGTACAAGGTGGTATGTTGTGAAAATGAGTTTCCCTTCGGCCCCTGGCCCCCAGTCCTGCATTCTTCTGAGTCGCTCCCTTAGGCATACATTTTACCCATTTCTTATGCATCTTTGAGAAGTGGTTTATGCTAATTTATTGGATATGTGTGTACATTTATTTCTGTCTTGCCCACACTTGATTCCGCCCCAGAGTGATGGTTTTAGAAATCTGATTATGTTATAACCGACTTTTTCAGAGGCTTTACAAAGTCCTTAAGCTGGTTTACCAGGTTTGGGATTAGCCTCTGCCTACCTCTCCAGTTTAAATTTTTTTTTTTACTTATTTATTTAAACAACAAGAAGCACAATAAAGAATATTCTTTTTTTTTTTTTTTTTTTAAATCCTCAGCCAAGGATATTTTTCCCATTTTTTTTAGAGAGAGTGAAAGGGAGGGGGGAGGCGTGAGAGAGACACACATCGATCAGTTGCCTCCTGCATATGCTCCAGCTGGGGCCTGGGAACGAGCCTGCAACTCAGTCATGTGCCCTTGAATCAAACCCACGACCCTCTGGTGCACGGGCCGACACTCTATAACCACTGAGCCACAGCAGCTAGGGCTAAAGAATATTCTTTTTTTTTTTAATCCTCACCTGAGGACACTTCTCCATTTTTTGTTCAGATAGAGAGGGAGGGAAAGAGAGGAAGAGAGAGAGAGAAACATCGACGTGAAAGGGACACATCGAGTGGCTGCCACCCGCATGACCCATCCAGGGCCGGGGACAAACTGCAACCAAGGTACGCGCCCTTGGTGGGAACCGAACCCCGATCTCTCTGGACCGCAGGTCGACGCTCTAACCACTGAGCAAAACCGGCTAGGGCAAGAATATTCTTGAATAGTAGCTTATGAAATACATTTCTAGATGTGAATATTAAAATAGAAAACATTTTTTTATGTTCAAATCTTTATTTTTAAAAACAGACATCAGGCCAGATGTGGTCTGTAGGGCAGCTTCTGATAAGTCATTCATTTTTTTTTTATTTTATATCAGATGAACTCACAGATATTTATTTTATTCTTTATGTTATAAATGTAGTTCTATCACTGTTTACTTTGTTATTCAAATTGTTTCAGTTTTTGCCATTGGGAACTTTTTTAGTGGGCTCCTTAGGCATTTCCCCCATTATGTAGGGTTTATTTACTTTTTCTTTTTTGGGGTGTATTTTATTTTATTTTCAAATTTACCTTTATTGTTGAAAATATTACAGATGTCTCTCCCTTTTCCCCCGTTGGCCCCCTCCACCCCATGACTATTCTGTAACAACCAATTTGTACTTCCTAACCCCTTCATCTATTTCACCCATCCCCCAACCCCCTTCCCATCTGGCAGTCAACAGAAATTCTCTGTATCTATGAGTCTGTTTCTGTTAGATTCAGTTGTTGATAGTTATATATTTATTGCCATTTTATTGTTTGTATATTTTTCTTTCCATTGATTTTTTAGATAAGAGTACAAGAGAAGGGACGAGAGAGAAACATCTGTGTAAAAGAGACACATCAGTTGGTTGCCTCCCACACAACCCTGACCGGGGCTGGGGCTTGAACCTGGAACCCAGGTACATGCCCTTGACCAGAATCAAACCCGAGACCCTTCGGTCTGCAGGCTGACACTCTAACTGCTGAGCCAAATCAGCCAGAGCATATCAGTTTCAGGTGTGCAACATAGTGATTGTACTCTTTCATGTTAGAGACATGTCCCTCAAAAGGGTTCTAATTCCAGACTGTATTCCACCCCCTCATGCAGCTAGTTCTCGGCCATAGAAGACAAGACATATTGATCATTATTTTTAGGGGAATGCCCTTTGAGAATCAGTGTTCCAACTCCATCTCCCCTGCTGGTAACAAAGAGACCTCATGGTTGACAGATTACAGCAAGCAGCCTAGACTCCAGAAGCGTGACCTGACAGTGAAGCGCTTGCATAGACACAGCAGCCTTGACATGTCTGTCCACAGAAATAAAGTTCTTGTTTTGTTATTATTTTTTTTAACATCCAATTGTTAAATGATGCATGTTATTCCTTTTTTTAATGGGTAATGGGAGTAGGTGTAATACTTTGTAATGATATTTAGAATTAGTAGATATATTTTTAAGAGAGATGTAACTATTTTTGTTTTGTTTTATGCTGTATGATACCTCTTTTAAGTTTATTTTTAATCCTCACCAGAGGATTTTTTCTATTGATTTTCAGACAGAATAGGAGGCAGGGAGGGAGGGAGAGAGAGAGACAGAAAAACATTGATGTGAGAGAGACACAATGATTGATTGACTCCCAAATGACCCTAACCAGGGCCAGGGATCAAACCACAATCAAGGTATGTGCCCTTGACCAGAATCGAACCCGAGACTCTGGTCCGCGGCTGACACTCTAATTGCTGAGCCAAACCGGCCAGGGTGCATGATACCTCTTATATGAGGCATAGAAACTAGCCATAGAAGCGGAGTGTGGAATGGTGGTGACCAGGGACTGTGGGGAGGGGAGGTGGGCGCTGCTGTTCGGCAGGTATGAAGTTGCAGTAATGCGGGTGATGACGTCCCAGAGCTCTGCACTGTGCTGGTCGACAGCACTGTGTGTGCACTGTAACATATGTTAAGACAGCTTTCCTTTTAAGTGTTTTTACACAATTTGAAAAATTGAGGGAGCCCAGTGTGTGTGGCTCACTGGTTGAGCATCGACCCATGCACCAAGAGGTCACCGGTTCAGTTCTTATTCAAGGCACATACTCAGATTGTGGGCCAAATCCCCAGTGAGGGGCATGCAGGAAGCGGCCCGTCGATGTTCTCTCTCATCAATGTTTCTATCTCTCTCTTCCCCTTTCTCTCTCTCTAAAATCAATAAAGAAAAAAAATTGAGGGGAAAAAAGGCCATTTCAAAGACCAACTTAAGTTTTAGGAAGCCAGATGTGTAAATATATCAGAAAATCCTTGAACAATGAAATGTTATGCTTGCATGCACATCAAGGAAAGATGTAAGGATTTCCCTCCATCAGGTTATCTTGAGCTTTTGTCCCCCGTCTCTTCCCTGCTAGTCTTCCTCTGTTTCCTGACCCTACTCTTCAGACCCTAGGGCTGTGTAAATCAAGCTGGTCCATCTGGATGCCTCTCCTCTCCTCTTTTTCATCTGGCTGTTTCTGATCTTCATTCTGTCCTTCCTCAGCTTCCACATCACATGTTCAAAGTGCCTTGTTTGTCAGAGATGGGGAGCTCACCCAAATCTGTGCCCCAGAGCACCCTGTACTTGACTTTTCCTAACTTCTCCCCCTGAAACTCCCTGTTTGAGCCTGTCTCTCCTGCGAGGTCGCAGGGACTTGACCTTGTTTATCGTAGCCCAGCAGTAAGCACAGGTGCTCGATGAATAGAGGGAGCAACTGGATGTTGTTTTAAGATCCTTGCCAGTTGGCGAGGCAGATTGCTTATGTGTTTTGTTTTTTTATGTTTTTTATTTATTTATTTATTTATTATTTATTTTATTTTATTTTTTTATCCTCACCCGAGGACATTTTTCCATTTTTTGTACAGATAGAGTGGGAGGGAGAGAGAGGAAGAGAGAGAGAGAGAGAGAAACATCAATGTGAAAGGGACACATCGAGTGGCTGCCACCCGCACGACCCAACCAGGGCCGGGGACAAACTGCAACCGAGGTACATGCCCTTAGCGGGAACCGAACCCAGGTCTCTCCGGACCGCAGGCGGACGCTCCAACCACTGAGCCAAACCGGCCAGGGCTTTTTTATGTTTTTATTGATTTTTTTTTTTAGAGAGGGAGAGAAAGGGAGAGAGACATAGAAGCATCGGTGTGAGAGAGAAACATCAATCAGCCGCCTTTTGCACACCCTATACTATGGATCAAGTCCTCAGCCTGGGCAGGTGCCCTGACCGGGAATCCAGCTGGACATCTCAGTCCATGGGGCATTGCTCAGTCCGCTGAGCCACACTGGCGGGACAGATTGCTTATTTCTTAATCGTTTAAACTATTCATTGTCTACTAATGGGCACTTAAGTTGCTTCTATATCTTGGCTATTGAAAAGAATGCTGCAATGCACAAAGCTTTTTAATTGGTATTTTGAGTTTCTTTGGATAAATACACAGAAGTGGAACTACTGGGTCATATGGTAGTTCTATTTTTAATTTTTTGAGAAACCTCCATGCTGTTTTCTATTGTAGCTTCACCAATTTACAGTTCCACCAACACTATTTTTTTTTAAAATTAAGGTTTGGGAATAACTCTCTTTTTTCCTTTATTGATTTTAGAGAGAGATGAAGTGAGAAGGAGGGAGAGAGAGAAACATCGATGAGAGAGAACATCGATTGGTCACCTCCTGCATGCCCCTCACTGAGGATTGGCCCACAACCTGGGCATGTGTCCCGACTGGGAATTGAACTGGCGACCTCTTGGTGTATAGGTTGACTCTCAACCACTGAGTCACACCAGATGGACCACTGTATATTTTTGTTTGTTGATTTATTGATGATATCCATTCTAATGTGTGTGAGGTGATATCTCATTATGCTTTTATTTGCATTTCCCTGATGATTAGTGATGTTAAGCATCTTTGCATATGTCTGTTGGCCATCTGTATGTCCTCTTAGGAGAAATGTCTACTCAGGTCCTCTGCCCATTT